ATTTCTGAAGACAAAGGACAGGAAATCAATCGCCAAATTGGCGGCTGATATGGAGTGTCGGCGAAAGTCGGGCCGAACTGTTGTCATAACTCAGGGAAAGGACGCCGTTTTAGTGGCAAAGACTGACTCTCCAGATGTCATTGAATTTCCCGTTAAAGTAGTCGATGAAAGCCTGATTGTGGACACCATTGGAGCGGGCGATGCATTTGTGGGCGGATTCTTCGCACAGTTAGTCCGGAACCGGCCGTTGGAGGTGTGCGTCGAGAGTGGGATATACGCCGCACAGGAAGTGATTCAACAAATCGGCGCTCATTTCCCGAAAGACATGACTTTTGATAAGACTGTAATTAATAGCAATTAGTAATTTTAGTTTTAAAGGTAAAAGTGATTACAAAGTAATGTATTTTTATTAAATAGATTGTTAATCAATGAATTTAAACTCTTGATTTTTTTTGAAAATAGTTAAATTTGAAATGAATTGATATTTTTGAATAGATATTCTTACACAGTATTATAGAATATGAATATTTTTGTGATCAAAACTGAATTATGTTTATGAATATTGTAATAATTATTTTACAGTATTATAATTCCTATACAACCAATCCATTTTATCTCAATGTAATGTTTTTACCTTTTTTCAATTGAATCTCATTGAATATACGAATTAAAATAAATAATAAAATATAATCGTGTTTTAATTTTCTATATTGGTTAAAAATAATATTATCGGTATTTGAAATATAAATAACTTTGATATTTTTGTTTTAAATAAGTACCGTAATTATTACACTTTCAACTCATTATCAGACTATAATATAGTCATTATATAAATTCATATTACGGTAATAATTTACGATAATTAAAGCACAAAACATATATATTATATCAATTCTTAAATTTATTTTTTGATTAGAAAAAATCAATATTTTTGTCTTTTTTTTATTTTACTGCATTGTGTATTAACTTTCATTTTATTTTTTAAATTTATTTTAATTGAATTGTATTGAATAAATTTTAATCAATAAAATATTTGTAAATGGAAATGTCTATAGGTTTCATAGGTAATATTTGACATAATTTATATTAATAATTCATTGTATTGAAAGGTTATAATGATATCATATAACTTATATGTTTGGATAATGGGTGAACACTTGGTTCATAAAATCATTTGATTCCTTAACTAAAAGACAATTATTGTGTAATCACTAGACTATGTTAACAGCAAATTAAAATTTTTATGTTATAATAATTTTCACATTAACAATATTTATTGAATTATGTCGAGTGTTATTTAAATGATGGGATTACAAGATTTGTTATTTGCTTATAATGTGAATCCAAACATTTGTTGGCATTTTTTATCTTTTCTTATTTTCTATATATTTTACTTCCTTTTTATTAATACATAAGAAAAAAGTGCACATGAATTGCAAATTAAAGTTTTTATTCACTGAAAGCCTAGCTTTTCTTCCGTATTATTTAGTCTTAAATAAGTTGTATCACAAAAAGGCATAAAATTCAATATCTATGTAAATGTGGTGTCGAAGAGTACAAGATTTGAATCAATTGAGACAATAAGAAGAACTGTTAGCAAAGAATTTTAAGTGATTTGCCAAACACTCCAATCGATTGCATGTAAAGCATAAGAATCGCGAATTTATATTCATTAAGAATTCAGATAATAGTCATATGAAAAAAGACAAAATATTGATTTAAATTTCTGGAACAAAAAATGTTTATACTGTATTTGAATAAAACTAAAAATTCACACATTTTATTGTTTTTGATTTAGATGTTAATTTGGATTTATAATGTTTTTATTATTCAGTAAAGAATATAATGAAATCAACGTCTTATTCAATATTCGCTTATTGTTTATAAGGTTTAAAATGGAAAAATAATAAAATAATAGTATAATTAGATTTGAGTCGAGAGAGAGAGAGAGAGAGAGAGAGAGAGAGAGGAATGTGATGTAGAAAGCATAAAGAGTATACAAGTCTATTATAATAGTGTACAGTAGAGTAGAGTAATACTGCTTATATAATATGCTATAATGTTATAGAGTAGAGGGTAATGTGTCGGATGTATCACTCAGTGAATTAGTAACAAAATTAAATTGTCTTTAATCTGAGATAAAGATATAGCAAACAAATAGATTACAAGAATTGGTATCCTTTTCATTGCTATTATAATTAGAGAAAACTTTTTACTCGAACTCTAGTGATAAACAGATGTATTTATGCTCTCAATGTTAGACACAAATGATTGTCACATACTTTTGTCAATTCACATTATGATTGGAATGTCTTATTGTGTCTATGAATCCCAGATCTGCCATTAGGTTTGTGATCAATAACACTATATTTAACTGCAATACAAATAAAAGCATAGCTTATAAGAGAGTGTATTCACTACAGAGACTGCTGTCAGTTGACTAACACATTGGGACACACATTGTCTGTATATTCGGGTTCGACATCACTAATCAATATTGAGTCTCACAAACAGACTAAACAAGAAAAACTTAGTGTTTTTTCAATAGAGTTATCCGAGAACTGGAAACATGAAAAACATCGATAAACAAAGCGAACCAAAAAGTGTTTGTAATTGAGATGTAGCTCTGTTTGGCTAATATTTGATGGTTTATTCATTTTTTAGATAATTTCTCTTTTTATCCATTGATTCCCTATAAGTGTCACATTGGGGATAATGCGGATGATGTCAATGATGTTTGTGATGACTGTAGAGCAGAGTTATGTAGTTTGGGGAGTCTTTGCTGACTCCATCACTTGATCACTACATCCAGAGTATAGTTCAATGATTGGCTCATCCAATATAAAGAGTGCGTTCAGAGTATTGTATTGTGTTTAGTGGCAAACAAATAGTACTGGTATTAGAATTGGGAACAAATCCCACTCCGAAACAAATCGTAATTATATTTTTTGTTGTGTTTGGCCACCCGTTGACAATGACAGAGACTGATAGATCAGTAATCGAAGTTACAGTAGACTCGGAGTATAGTATAAAGAAGTGCTGACTGACTGTAAGACAAAGTACACCGAAAAGTGCTTTTCTATTGTACTATAGGTTCGGATTGCGGTTAAAGGAGTTTGTTGTGTATGTATTCAAACTTTATGAGTGAATGATTGAAAGCAATTGGGAGTGAATGCAAGACATTGAGAAGTGACTCCCATTTAATTTAAAACTCGTATTTGATTAGATTTGATAATATTAGCCGATTGTCTATTGTTTGGCAAACTTGTAGTCAAGTATTTCAGGCAAAACATCTGTCGGTACAATAGGCTCCTCTTGAAAACATCTGTTAAAATTCGTCCCTCGATAGAGACTTGTGCTCCCAGTCCTCCCAGTCCTCCCAGTGCTCTCTCGCGATGTTTGTCACTGCAGTACAGCCAGTGTTTGCCATACATGTGATTCCCATATTCTATTCGTTACATATACTGTAATATAAATTCAACACAAACTATATTGTCAGTAATGCTTCACTACTCTATCCGTTCCTAACATTATAGCAGTCGGGCATCGATTTGTCTACCAGTGCTCTACACACTCACTGATACACAACATACACGCCTGGACTCACACTCCAAAAGCAAACCCAGTTATCCATATTATATAGTTTTCCGTATCCATAAGTATAGCCTATGCCTAAGGGCTTCATATTTTATATGCCAACGAATCTTCTTTCTATACATTGCAGAGCATATGTGGGAAGAGTGACCAAAAATTTGCTTCACTGTCCTTACAAATGCCTACCAGTCCTTCACTACTAGCCTACAGAAGGCATACATTCAAACAAATAAAATTTCATATTTTCTCTGTCTTTTCTTTTCTCAAATCTCAGCGTTTGCTTCCACTCAACGAATTGATATTTTGTTAGCTCTAACTGTAAATCGATTTGCAGAGTCTCTCTCTCTCTCTCTCTCTCTCTCTCTCTCCCGTCGTATCTCTTTATTCAGTCTCAACTCAGCGAACAACTAAAGCAAACTCGCATTTCATTGATCTCTCGTTTTTTCATACTATGAACACAACATTCTGTATGAAAAGAAACTCCATTTGGAGGACATATACTGTACAGCGAAACACATAACACATATTTGGCTAAAAAGAGCCCATTTTTTAAAGAGCGATAAGAAAAACTGTCTCTCATTAGTAACAATCACTGCTATCATCGCTTTTGTCAGTGAAGTCGACGCTTCAGTCAGACATAGAGTCAGCCTTTTATAAGTTAAAGAACAGCACATTCTCTGATTAAAACAGATGTCATTTACGAATAACACAATCATATATTATATTAAAAAAGAGATTTCTTTCCCGTTGTTGTGCCACAAAAGCGTCAAACAATTTAGTGGTTTTGCATTTTAACCGCTTTTTGTGTTCATAAACTGGCGGCACAGGGAGAGACTGGAGCGCAGATAGTAAGCTGTGATTTATTGCTAAGTTGTTAATTAAAATAAGAGAAGATGTGCCCAAATGTAATACTTTATTGTCTCGATTGTCGTGATTGTCTCAGCTGTAGAGTGAATGCATTCAACCAAATCCGCATCAATTAATCAAATAAGGGATCGAAAAAAGTAGTTTAGCTTAAGATTAACTGAGAAGGAAATAAGAAAATTGGTTCTGACAAAACTCATCCATGCGATTCACATCTCACTGTTTTCTATGCCAGATATGTGTGCAGACTGTGTGTGCCCTCCACTCTTCACATCCCTCTTTCCCTCAGTCTCTCTCTCTCTCTCTCTCTCTCTCTCTCTCTCCCTCTCTTACACATCCCTCTCCTCCCATCTCTCGCTTGTATGACAACTGCATATCTAAACCTTAAGGCAATACAATAACATGTTTTAAATCTCAGATGATTTTCATATATTCTCATTCGTAATGCTTTCAATCATTCAATACCATTATCTAAACTCGTGAGTGATTTTCTGCGATTTTCTTCTAATACACGGACTTTTATTTCTGATAATTTCTGATCAATTCTACACAGAGTTTGTAAACATTACTAGAAAAGTGTCAGAATTTGACAAATTCTTATGTAATATAATATATGACATATTCAGACAATTTGATTACAATCATTGTTTACTGTTGATTGTAATTGTGGGACATATGCCTAATTGTAATATTAGTAAGAGTAGGCCGTATTGGAAGTATAACATACCGGAGTAGATAATATATGATTGTGAATGCATTGGGGAATGGAAACGATTGAGAATAAGTAGAATTAGTAACAGTAGTGCTATTATTGTTGAGTGGTTCACAAGTCTAACAGCTCCTCCTCATTGCGCTTCTCCATGAGCTGTATGAGCTGTACTCTCTGTACTCCCTGTGCTCTTAGTGTTCACTCTATGGTCTACTGTATGGTCTACTGTATGGCCTACCGCTTGCAACTCAGTCTATGTTTGTCTCTCATCCCTCATCGCTGTCTCCCAGACTCGTACTAAGAGCTCATATATTGGGCTCTCAGTCATCATCTCTTTAGTGCATTCTTTCGACTATAAGTTGTGTTTAGATATAGTATTAGAGTCTCTCTAAAAACATCATCTCTTAGACTAAACTGTCTCTCATTGTGTTGTTTTTTCAATCGATTCATGGATTGCATGTAAGAGTGTATTGAAGGGATGGCTGAACAACTGTATGAACACAATAGAGGCCAACATTTGGAAAACAATGTGCGCTCGTATGCGACCAAAGTATCGGTGAGTAGTCTAAGAGTTAACGAGTGTTTTGTCAAACAGTTGTGCCGATTGGCAAACGTATTGCCAAAATTGCTGGGATTTGATGAAACATTTATTTGATGTGAAGTTTTACTGAGTTTAAGCTTATTTAGAGACTAAACTGCAATAGAGTTAAGTGCTGAGGGCTGTTATGCTAGCACTGCCTGTCCTGTAGTGCACACTGGCTTTGAGTCTCAGCTTCTTTTTCATCATTCAATATAAAAATTGGTTCCCTTTTAGAGCTAATGCTATGCATTCACTTCTTTTATCCTCATCTCATAAGAGCTCCTCTTTTCAAACAATTTTCTTTCATTCAATTCATTCAATTTTGGTTCAGTTTTGTTCACTTTTTTCAATTAATTATTTCTTTAGATTAATGTTTATCTTTTAGTTATGCTCTAAGGGCTCAGCGATGTGTGTGTGTGTGTGAGAGAGAGAGAGAGAGAGAGAGAGAGCCAGTACTTCGCATGTTATGTCACAGATTGTCGAAAATTAAATAAGCAGTTCAGTCAACACATCCAACACATGCCTCTAGTCTTCAATTTTACACTTTTTGTTGACAACCTTTCAATGGTTTCAAGAATCGGTTCTGTATTTTAATGAGATTTCATTACACCAACCCTACTATACTATCAATTCATTCCTTTGAAATCTATTTTAATTATCTTTAAACTTATATTAATATCAATAATAATAATATCCAGCGTTTTTAGTGTTAAATTAATGAAATCTGTATATCTGTAGCACAAATTCTGTACTTATCAGTTATTCAAAATTATCCAATTTGTTAACATTTTAAAATGTTAACAAATATTTTCATAAATTAGTTTCTCTTTAAAAAATCTGTTTTCCTAAAAATCTTTGTTTTAATTCCCTATTATTCTGATGAACAGTATTTCTATATAAAAATCAATTAAACAAATGCAGTGAACATTAATCACTGATCTAATGATTGCTACAATACTTACTCTAATTAAGAGAAGGGTATAGACATCCCTACAAATCCTTTATTTATTTAGTTTATTGTAATAATAAATATGTATTCAGTTATGAAAACACATAAATTATTGGTTTAACGACACAACCGCTAATATATCACACATTCAGACAAAACATAAATAAAAATTTGGTAAAACAAAAAAGAAATTAGAAATATTATTTGTTTAGTGATTCTACTTACATACCAGTATAATTCTAGCAAGTGAGCATGATAATACGATATTATAAATGAAGCGTTAATTAATTCAGTGAGTTATGAATAACTATAATTTTTCATTGTTTGAGCCAAGAATACTACAAAACAAAAATATTAAGAATAATTAAATAGAGTTTTGCCCTGATACAGTATGCGTCTAATTCAGATATACCGATAGCATTGGCGATATGGACAGTGGTGACTGTCTGATACAGTATTAGTGGCACAGGGAGTCTGGGCTGTGCGTTAGGGCTGTCAATATGGGTGGTTAGCATAAAGACTACATTATGTTCCTTTGAAATGCAAATTAGAGAATCGGAGCGGAAAGAGATGAGAGCATCTCATCATGTTTTGCATGCTATCAGAGCAGAGGGTTTTTGCTATCATAGTCGCGAATATGTTGCGCTCGACTTCACTGCTCGCTGTGTTGTGCTGCCTGTCCTCCCAGTCCTCCCGTTCCGCTCACTCTCTTGTGATGCATAATATCGTACATAAACTTATTCTTTTAGTTTTGACGTCGAGTTTAGTGAATCATATACTCCTCGACTTGAAGTTTATTCATATTTGATATACGAATACAAATATAAATACTTTGATATTCTTCTTGAGTTATTCAGCGCTCGAGTTATTGTAGACTTTATTTACTGAATAAATTCACTCAAACTTATCAGTCGTTTGGAGTCATATATGAAAAGCCATATAATCATCATATCTGTGAATATTCTTGTTTTTTATTGTTGCTATTATAATACATTACAGAATATAGTTTTATATTAATAAATAATTTATAATATTCTCTATTTTCAGTACTAATAAATTAACAGAGGATTGAATGGAAAGCCTATTGTAATCAGACTTTCAAGACAATGACAGAGGGAAGTGAATCAGATGGCGGTAATGCCATTGAGAGCCCTTCAAACACCATAACGACTAACATATCGAAAGGACAGCTTTTCGGCCCATTTTCTAATCCATTGCATTGGCTATCACTCAAGTCATGCGATAATAACAGAGATAATAACCCAACGAATGAACTCTTCTGCCGAATAGAGATCGCCAGACATTCAGACGAACAGAATCTGAAAGTAATTCACAAAAACGGAAACTTCTATTTCAAAGCCACTCGTGATATGAGTTTAGATGAAAGTGGAGATAATGGCGACCGAAACGTTCGGCCCAAACTCTACGCCTGGTTTAGCACCGATTTGGAGACAAGACTACCGACCCCTTCAATGAGTTGCATAAACGGAAGCACCAGATATTTCTGTCCCCTCTGTAACCAAGTGTTTCTCTACTCTAATTGTGTGGTCACTCATATACTCTGCATTTGTCCCAAACGTATTCAAATTGACTCCATTCCTGTCCCGTCAAACACATCCAACCACTCGTCCCGCTCGTCGTCCACCCCACGCACCGGCGACACCACTTACACCCAACACATCCCATCCCTGGGCAACGGATCCGCACAACCAGACGTCAAACCGCAGCCCAAACGGAAGCGAGGCTTCGATATCGCGTCTCTCGTCAGAGAGGAATCCAATGAAAGTTTTCCTCTCAATAAACGGAATAAGAGTTCCGAGGATTCGGACAACAAATGTGATGAAAGTCTAACCAATTCCAGTGCTTTTCATCGGCCGAAGTCACCGCCTATTGTCCGCAAATCTAGTCCAATGGCCACCACTTCCTCATCCATTGACATGATATCGGCGCCGCTGATGACGAGTGCGTTCAAGAAAGTCGACCACAAAATGAGTTCCGTTAGCAATCCGTACGACTTCTCAGCCTTATATCAAAGAGTGGCCACTTCTTCGATGTTGCCGTCGAGCGGAGGGCCGGGCGCTCACCCACTGCTCCACCAAATGGCGATCCCGGCGCCCATCACGTCGTCGCTGTCCACGTCGTTGTCGAGTACGAGCAGCAAATCCCTGGTGTCCAACACTCTTCTGCCATATTTGCCGCCATCGTTGGCAGCGCTCACATTCCCGACCACCAACTGGTGCGCCAAATGCAACGCCTCCTTCCGCATGACATCCGACTTGGTTTACCACATGAGGTCTCACCACAAGAACGCCTTAACCGGCGACACCATGAAGAAGAAGAGGGAGGAGAAGCTCAGGTGTAATATATGTAACGAGACATTCCGGGAACGACACCATTTGACACGACATATGACTAGTCATCAGTGAATATACCGAACCATTCCTCGCATTATTTCATATATTATTAACAAAAGGTTTTCATCGGATTTGTCGTCTAGTCTTACATTTAGTTTGTTTTATAAACTTCTAGTCAAACAAAAAACATTTCAATTGTCTCTCCATTTGTTTGAAATCAACAAAATATTATAAGTTATTACAAAAAACTCATTATAATTATAATTATTATATGGTTTTATTTAAATGTTATAAAATTAAATTAGAAAATTATTATTTTAAAATTACTTAAATTAAATGTTTTGCATAAAAAGTTCGCATAATTTACCGGTAATTGTAAATAAGTTTTTTGAATTTGCATTCATTACTAGAGAAACGATTGAAATGTAATTTGAAATAAAAATTAAGTGAATTTGTTGTGAAAAATAAGACAATTATATTAATAATTAACTATACTTTTGAGATAATAGTCACAAAAAACATTTGGATTTGAAGTGATATTTGAATAAAGAAAAGATTTGTTCAAAAAAGTAAGCCTAAGATATCATAAACCAGAGATTCATTTGTTATACCACTTATCAAAACTGGACTTCGAGGACAGTTCCACACTCTCATCACCTTTGGATCTATCCATTGATTTGTCAGTAGTTGCGATGAAGTCAGTGGAAGTACTCTGTGTTTTAGTCGGGGTTTTAGTGACCGATTGGACGGTAGTATCACTGGATGTGTTGGTTGTGGTAACTGTGGTGTCATTTCCAGTATCTTCACCGGAATTATACAACTCAGTGAACACTTGTCTTAAAGTATTTAAATGTTGTCTCAAATGTCTATTAATAGCCACCAACTCCTCGTTACTTGCTTTCAGATCATTGAACTTCTCGTGGCTTTGGGTGCCATCGGAACCGATGTCTTGAGTTTCAAGTCTTTTGAGTGTTTGCTTTAAATCAATGTTTTTGTTATGAATTTGTGTTAATTTCAGTTTCAATTCCTCTCTGTCTTCAGACAATCGCCGGATAGCCATGTCTTTGAAGGCAACCATTTGTCGCAATTCGTGACACGAGTGGCAACTCTTGCGGATATTCACGCCATCATTGGTCTCATGGCATGAGTCCATCGAAAGACATATTTTGGGACTTTTCTGGACATAAGAAGTGAGTGAATGATGGGATCAATTGAAAAAATGCCAACAAATACCTCGTGATTGTATGGTTTGATGGATACGATGACCCGTTTGTCTGGACTCAACGTGACGGACATCTGGACAACTGATTGCAGCAACTCTTGGACTCAATGACCACTGAATGGCAAAAGTTATGACAGTTTTGTGGCAAATGTTTGTTTCAATGCTTCGTTGGGTTAGTGTTCAGTGAATGCCATCTATTGGCCACTCATTCATGTCTCGCATATATTCTGTCAATCAATCGGTTATTGATTTTCACAAAACTTTTAATCATTAAAAAGTTTTCAATCATTTGATCATTTTATAAAATATTAATTTAATTATGATTGCATAACAATTTATGATTATGTAATTTTAAATGTAGACTAAATTATATGTATATTACTGATTTATACTAATGGTATTATCTTTATTAACAAAATTATTTGTATTATTAATAGTTTTTTATTTAAAAAATACTGCAAATTATAGTTTTATAAGTTTAAACATAATTGTACTGTTTCATTTCTAAACGTATGAAATCAATAGTTTATAAGCCGGTAAAATAACAATTGCATTTTACTTGTCAATCATAACTGGAAGACAAAGAATCATTTATGAAACATATAAAAAATTTTTATTAAAAACTTAAAAACCCATAAAAGTATTGAGTAAAAGATTTTCTAAATATAACTTGTAGCTAATAGTCAATAATAATAATAATATACTGTAAATATAAAACATTTCTCTAAAAAGATTTTTACATTTGACGTCAAAATTGTTGAATTCATAAATTCATAGCTCCCAGTCCTCCCGGAGTTCCAAAGAGTTTTGTTATATTGTATAATATATATAGACTTACTAGTTATGGTAGATTCATATATAATTTATAACCCATTTATAGCTCTCAACTCAAAACAAGTGAATCGATTCCCATATATTCCTCCACTTTATGTCTCAAAACTTTTATTCTTAAGAAAATATTTTTTCTGTAAATAATAAGTTTTTATATATTTTTATATATCATTCTTATTGTCAGCGAATTATTTGTTTGTTTTTATCAATCGTAAGAAATAAACGAAACAAAAATATATTTTCTTTTATTATATAACGTCTGTCCCATAAGTTACGCAACTTTTAAATCTTTGATTATTAAAAGACGACAAAAGCAATGTTAATCAAATAAATTCTCAAATTATGACAATTGTATGAGGTTACCTTGTTTATATTTGATACATATCTAAAGGCACAGGGAGAACAGGGAGTTTCTCTAAATAATAAAGTATAAAGTATATAACTTATAACAAGATTGTAAGATCTGATTATTGAAATAAAAAGATATAGACAAATATTAAATTGTTTGGGCAAATACCTTAAATTTTTAAAATTTTAATTTTTTTAACATTACAAATAATATACATGTATAATAATTAAATGTTAATAGTCAATATAAAATAATTTTGAGGTTGTTCAGAGCAGTCATTTTAAAAATCTTGTGATATTTTAAAAATTAAAAATGCAACTCCCATTTATTTTTCGATATCTTTTCATTCCAATAGTCAGATCTTAGCTATACCTTACTTTTTGATTTAGAAAAACTCCCTGTCCTTCTTGTGCCTTTAGAAATTTATTACATATGAATCATACATTTGTCAATATATTAGAATTTATTTGATTCAGACTTTTGTCGTCTTTTAGTAATCAAAGATTTAAAAGTTGCGTAACTTATGGGACAGACGTTATATAATAAAAGAAAATATATTTTTGTTTCGTTTATTTCTTACGATTGATAAAAACAAACAAATAATTCGCTGACAATAAGAATGATATATAAAAATATATAAAAACTTATTATTTACTTCCCTGTCCTTCTTGTGCCTTTAGAAATTTATTACATATGAATCATACATTTGTCAATATATTAGAATTTATTTGATTCAGACTTTTGTCGTCTTTTAGTAATCAAAGATTTAAAAGTTGCGTAACTCGTGAAACAGACGGTAAACAGTTATAAAAATGTCATAAAACATTGTATAGTTTTATTATGATTTTTGTTGCTTTTATTTATTTTAAAACTTCCAGTATTCAAGAGTTCAAAAATACCAAGGCATTGTTTATATTAACTTTACTGTAATTGACAAATTCCTCCCGGGTTGATGTTTATTCAATCGGTTTATGTTACCACTATTATCACTCTCTTATTTGTGTTACAATTTAATTAATTTTTATGTTTAAGATATTTTGCGAAATATTCTTATGTAGTATTTTTTTTATCGCTATTACTATAATCGCTAATTTATGCTATTTATAAAGTATAAATGTCAAAACGTATAAGTACTCGAAAGGTTTATTTAAGATTATTATGTCTTAAAGATTTTACTATAATTTGGTGTATTTCAAACTCCAATTAACACTTCAATTAATACTACAATGAAATTAGAGTGAATAAAAGTAATTATTCATTTGTGTCTAATTTATATATACATTGAGTGTCGGAATAGGGATCGAAGTGTTATTTTAAACTCAAAGCTCTAATAGTTTCAACAATTGGTTCACTCATCAAACGCTTTGTATTAAAATTATAGCCACTTCTTGTCAATCACTTGGAGTTAACATATATTTTGAAAACTATACATTTGAATATTATTTCAGCTTTTGTTTCAAAATACAATATAATATACCGTATTTATATTGCTTTACGTTATTCTTTAAGTGTATGAGAGAGAGAGAGAGAGAGAGAGAGAGAGAGAGAGAGCATATTTCAAAAATATTTCAAAATATAAGGTAAATATATAGTCATTAAGTATCATAATACCATTGGTATTGAAATGTTATGGTATAAGTTAAGTTAAGTAAGTTTAGCATACTGAACCTATTAAAATATTTGTCTATTTCTAAAATTAAGCGCTAATGTATGCAAATATTACACAAAAAATAAAAAATAAAATTATTACGTTAGGAAATCAATATATTATGTAAATCAGTTTAAGAAATTTAGTTGAACTAAATAACAATTTACAAACAAATATTTCCTATTTTTAATATTCTTACAAATTATTTAAAAAATTGATGACAGTGGAAATATTTATAACTGTAACAAAATAAAGTATTTTTATATTTTATTATTTCAAAGTATTATAATTAAATAGGAAATTCAATTTTCTAATAGATTACATAATTTAAGTTATCTAAGTTTTTTAAAACGATCAAATTTTTTATCAAGTATATATCATATTATGCAATACTGTATTATAAATATACTGTGTAAATTGTATAATATACCGGTATACATTACTAAGCACAATATTACAATAAATTATTGCCACTGAGGATTATACCGGTATAATTTATAATAAAATATATTATATTCTTTTGGTTTTATCTAAACTGATTTACATATTTAAAAAAAGTTATATAATCTCTACAGCAATAACTTAATACCAAATTGATTTTTTAAATTGGCCAAAATATGATATATTATGATATAATCAGACACTTCTTGCTGTCATTACAATACATATGATAAGTGTTTAGCACCGGTTGACGGCACCGGTAGTCAGCCTTTGATACAACACACGGAAATGCTGGCGGCTATTGGGCTAACACAATGCGCTTACGATACGTCTCGCAATGCTATTGTGTATTCAAAATTATGTCTTACAATTGTTAGTATGGATAATGATATTCACAAAAAAGTATTATATTTATGCATTTTCTTCAGTATTGAAGCGAATAAATGATTTTTAAAATATGTTTCTTCTGTAATGAACTCTAAATAAACAGTTCATTGCAAACGAACGCTCATTACCTTTGAATACATCTCCAAATAATTGCCGAAATATGTAGAGAAAAGTTGTCTATTAGTTGAGTTTCAATAGTTTGCAATACAAGTCTGCAAATAGCATTCATATAAAGTTTTTGTAAAGTTTCAATTTTAAACAAATACTGTATTTAGTTTGCAATTGTGTTCATTTAAGTTTAATATAATCTAATGGCCAGTTGTCTTACCGGTCGATGTATTTATTGTTTTGGTTTAAAAGTTTTGATACCCAGCAGATGTTTGTTGCTTTTAATCTATGCACTCAATTACTGTATAATTTCCACAAATTCATCGAAAACTAAAGACAATTTGTCTGAAAACACATCATATTTACGTAATTCTCACCATTTGTTCACAAATTTAAAAAACAACGATTACTTAAAGTCGGTGTTGGAGTCAATGCAAAACACATCGTTTCCGTTGGACAGCAGTAAAGGAGAAAACTTTTTGAAACAAATCTACGGAAGAATCGGTAATTGATATAAAATTATAAAACATAAACAAAATGTTAAAAAAGTTCAATCAATTGATAAGCAAACGACGAGTTGACACGAAACGAGCAGTTGTCACAAATCTCTTCGTGGCTTAGCGGTGACGATGGCGTCAAGAGTTTCAATCAGAGCTCATACTTGAGGGATGCCGTCATGAAGTACATGCGGACTATAGAGGACGACCCCATAGGTGCCGATGCGATGGCGACCGCCGAGGCTCTGAAAGCAGAGTCAAAGTCCAAAACCCAACACTTGTCTCAAAGCTCTTCTAATGTTAAACCACTTGAGAGCCAACCGACCCATTCAATGAAGAGCGACGAGTCGGATGAGGGGAACGACT